GCAGGAATTATCTAGAAATGAAGCAATCACACCTTCTTCAGGCTCCAGATAGGAATCTCCTGGGAGCTTGGGGACATCAACCGTCAGCTTTTTTTTAAAAAAATGAAATTACAGCCAATTTCTTGGAAATTGAAGGGGACTGAGTATAGGCAACCGCATCTCATTGTAAACTCCGACCCACTGCTTCATCTCAAAGGGCACAGCCCTTACTCTTTCTTATTAGGGCTTAAGTACACTAGTTAGCAAGATCCAGAAGTATTACGCTTTTACCGCTCTGGCTGAGAAATGCAAGGCAGCCTGAGAAAAAGACCAGAGCAACTTGCCCTGAAACTTTCCAGTAAAACAAAAATGCACCCCAGCACCCAAAATTGCCTACGCAGTTCTCGCTAGCCAGGAATCAAATCCCCGTAGCAAAGGTCAGCTGTGCTCAGCAGCCAACACACATTCTCTGCAAGGGAGAGACCTTCCAGATACACCAGCTAAGCAAGGCTGCTAACAGTGCCCTAGAGCCTGCTGCACTTCTAAAATCAATTTCAAGGTGAACAGATGCAACATGCACTCGGGCAAGCCCACAGACGAGCGTGAAAATCGCTCCCAGCGTTTGCTGAACTACACACAACTAGCAACTGTTGGGTCCTGCTCCAGCCCAGTCCATTTGCATCTCTTCAGGCATCTGTTGGTGTTAGCAAACACGCCTCAACACCGAAGTGGCAGAGGTATTGTTTGAAGCTACCAGGAATGGAAATAATCTATTGGAGGATTTGCCTGCACCTACTGGAGCTATCACAGATTACTTTTGTGCCAGGAAAAAGAGACTGAGGAAGCTGCGGTGTTATACAAACACTGAAAATTATTCTTGCCAAAGTAGCCATTAGACAACACCAGAACAAGCCACTCTGATGCAAAATCCCAAACCAAAGTTATCACTTCCATAACACAAGATCTCACCGCACCCATCTGGACTCTTGCAACCCATTGCTATATAGGTACCCCGCACACAGAAAACAGGCAGTGGTTAGAGCAGGGCAGGCTCCACCACCTCCCGTCCAAGCCAGTCTCCTCGGCCACAGAGGCAATTAAATGTCACAGCCTTTGCTTTGAAACCAGCTCGTCCCCTTCTCGAGTCAGGGCTCACCCACCACCTTCCTCCTCCCCATCTGACTGTCTGTCAATAACAGATGCATTCTTCAGATTTTCTGCCTACCACTGGCACGTCGCGGTCCCAGCACCCTCGCTGGAGCCAGCGAGATCACGTATTTGGATTGAGATAATTGCGTGACGGTAGGCAGAGCTAAAACAAACCTGCCTTCAAGGAGAAGCTGAGATGTCAGACTTTCTCCCAACTTGCTCTCCATCTCCCTCTGATCTTCTGAGACACACCAGAAGGTTGTCTTTTTATAATGTCTTCTAAATACGGATTTTTAAAACTATTTTTCAATTTTGCTCTTTGAAAAAAATTCCTGAGATTAGAAGGTAATTCTGTTAAAGAACAGAATTTTCTGAACTCTGCATTATCCAAGCAAGCAGATGCTGAGAAGTTGTCTTCTCAACACCTTCCCAGGAAAGGACTAAAGATGAGCAAGTGTGGGTTTGGCAGTGTGCCTACCCTCCTCTGGGATATTCTGACACTTTCTTGCCCTCAGGACCGACTCCCAAAACTCAGATTTCAGGTGTCTGCAGTGCCAGCAGCATGAGGGTATGTCAGATAAAGAGAAAGGCTCCCATCTTTCCCAAGACGACTTAGAGACGAGGTCAGGAGAGACTGTATCAAAGGCAGCCCAGAGCCCCGCTGGCAGAACAAGGTCTATTTGTCTAGCAATGTTTTGTTACCACAGTGAAGCAAACTCCCCGAGCGTCAGAGCAGCAGCCCCAGGGAATCTGTGGCTCCCCAGATCCCGAGGCAACATCTCCTTATGAATGTGCCCATCGTTCCAGGGGCCGAGTATCTCACAGTTTAAATACAGCCAACAAACCTGATCAGTCATCCCTGAGGAAAGAAGTCTCCTCTCTTCATTACAGAGGAAAGGAACTTTGCAATGAGGTGAACACTTGAAGGTTTTTTTTTGTTGTTGGGGTTTTTTTTGTTTGTTTTGTTTTGTTTTTTAATCCTTCTCCCATACTCCTACAAAACCTTAAGGCTGCTTCACAGCACCCTCGTGACCCAGCCTGTTCGTGGAGTGACTAGCTCGATTCTTGCAAGAATATAACTGAGAACGAGCCTGAGGGAATGGCATTTCTCACCTGGACAATTTCTCCATTGGAAGCAATTAAATCCGTGGGGATGGAGACTCTGAAGAAGCGTCCCACCACGGCAGAGCTGTCCGGTATGCCCACCACGGCCGGCACAGTCTCCCGGAGGTCCGAGAGCACGGAGTGCATGGAGGCCTCCAGCTGGTTTTCCCAGTCCCGAACCACTTCTGCCGGCTCGCTGGGCCAGTGGCAGTGAGCAGAGGCTGCCAGCAGCAGCACGGGGAGCCAAGTCCTCCCCAGGAAAGGGGGCTGCAGTAGGCATCCAACAGTCATTCTTCCCGGCAGCCTTGGCGACAGTGCTCCAGCCGGAAAGGGGACCACAGGGAATCTGCAGGCACCACAGCGTAGGCAGGGGATCCGCCAGTCCTTCACAGCAGCCTCATCCTAGGAGTCCTGGGAACCTGGTTAAACAAAGGAAACCCAATCAGCACGTTAATTATGATATCCAAGCCAGCCAGCTAACACACGCAGACCTCTCTGCAATGGACAGAGGGCTACCTGCCACGCTACCCTCTTCGTTTCAGCTTTTTGATTTGACTGCAAAAGTCACCACTACCATTAAAGAGAGCAAGAGCTTCTCAGCTCCTCTTCTGACGTACAGCATCTCTGAAGAAACAAGATCCTCCTCTTTTCCATGCGCACAACCATGTTTCTGCTGCTCTGGAGCCACACAGCATCCTGACATAGCCACAGATAGGGCAGATACAACTGAAGCCGAGACAGAGCACAGTGGTAATAGGTGACCTTTCAAGGCAAGCTGAAGTCAGGCTGGGGCTTCAGTGGATTTAAATGCCAGTTACGCAGTATGAAGGTCCCAAGAAACCTTCAGTACTCCAAAGTTGCCATCTTAACAGCTTGATGCATGACAGATGCTTCTGCTCCTCTGACCCATAAGCCTGGCTTTCAAGCCAGGTCTCCTCTCAGTTCCAGCTTTTGGTATTAGTGTGTTTAAACTTTATTTGGGCTCCAGCAATATGCACCCCAAAAATCAGACTGGAGTAAGCTATGCACACAGTGTCCCACACTGCTACCTGCTGTCCAGCTCCCTGCTGCTTGCACAGCTCGCCCGTCCCCACACCGTGCCAAGAAACACCTCCAGCTCTCCCTCACTTGGTTGTCGTCTTCTTTCACTTGCTTCCTCCCCATCCCCACCCTCTCTCTGTTCCCCTGGATCACAGCTCTCCTTTCTCTCCTCTGTTCCTTTGGTGCATTATTTCCTTCGCTTCCCCAGCTGCTTCTCCCTCCAGACTGCGTTCAGCCACGGCACACAGGAGTCACGGATCTCTACACACCCCCATGTTCCTCTTCACAGCCTGTTTGCAGGAGAACAAGTGGGTTCATGAAAAAGGACAGAGCCATTTGAGGCCCCGGGGGAAGCCGTACTGCCCACTCCAGCATCTCCATTTGCAGCTAGCACAGCCCTCTAACTAATCTGCGGTAACGAGCCGGGCAGTGGGTTACGCAGGACTGGAGGACAGACGCACAGACCATGCGGGTGTTGCTCTGGCCCCCGGGAGCACACGGGGCTGGGCTTCCTCAGGCCAGGCACTTGCACGTCTTGAACCAACCCCTTTTTTCCAGGCTGAGAGAGAAGTGGCTCCAAATTCCCAGAGCAAACGCAGCCCAACTGCTAACCACTGGCTCCCAATCCTCTGAGCACAGCATCGATTTATTTTAGCCCATTCCAGCTGCGTTGTGTCATGCACATCAGGCCATCCCAAGAGTCCCTGGAGCCAGACCGAGTGGGAAGGGAAATCCCACTGCATCTTGCCCTTGCAGAGGTCCCGGGGCACCACGACTGCAGGACAAGCTGTCCTGCTGCGCTGCGGCCAGGCAGGCGCGTGTTGCCCACCACGGGCTTGCAGAAGTAGGCAGAGGGCCTGTCCCTGCAGGCAACCAAGCCCAAGGTTAACACAGCGGGCTCTAAGAATAATAGAAGAGGTAAAATTTGGTTGCTCACCCTAAAATCTGCATTCTAGAAGCTGAGAGGTAGTGTGCAAGGACTAGCACACCCTCACCCCTTGATGGGCCTTTTCACAACAAACCACTGATGCAGAGGGGCTGACACCTCCCATCCCAAGGTAACGGGCCCAGCGAGCACAGTCACAGCTAGCAAAGAGGGCTGTGGGTGGCGGAAATTATGAGCCGAATGCAATAACCTCTGGCTTCCACAAGGCAGATATCTGATCTGACCCCTGTCAGTCGCAGAAAGCCTATCTCAAGTGAAAGGCAAAAGAGACAGCAGAGGCAGAATAACAATGCTGGAAACTACAAGAGAGATGGGAGGATGGTTGGTGAGATGCCAGCGTCAGAAGAAAGCCCATTCCCCCACTGCTCTTGTCCTTCCGACTGCCTGAACTGACTGGGACAAGAACACACCTGATGAAACAACAGGGAAGCCAAGGCCAGGCTCTTCCCAAAGGCAGCTGAGCACATGGTGGTCTTCACCCCGGAGTGAGATGCCCGAGCTGCTTCTCCAGAGGTTATCATCACGAAAGATGAAGTGGCTGGGTGGGTAAAAACAAGTCACGCTTCCTACAGGGCCCCGTCTCTCCTACCAGCTCCCTGCGTGGTCAGAGGATGAGTCTGACATCCACCGCAATTGATTTTGGATGGACCCAGAGTCACCTCAGCGAGGCCACCACCATAGCAGATGTCCGGTAGAGAATATCCAACAGGCTGTGAATGAGCTACAGAGATGGAGCAAACATCTCCAAGAGGTTCTGAGCAGGCCACTGATGATCACAGCAGGAAAACAGGGGACTCCCATCCCTGCACAGTGCCTTAAATAAGCAGAAAGCGGAACCACTTTCAGCCTCCGTGGAGGTCAGGGTATGGACACTGCAGTGACAATGCCTTGTCCGTGAGCTGCATCTCCTGAAGCCTGCTCGTTGGAAAGTCCTGCGGCACAAGGGACTAGAAAGCAACCTGCACAGCAAGTACAGGCAGGATCAGAAACTCGCCGGGAGCTTGGGGAGGAATGCGGCAGCAGCAGAACCCAGCAGCCCCGTGGCTGCTGCAGGGCCGAGATGCTATCAGCATGGAAACATGGCTGCCTCTCACAGCTGCGCTGAGCCTCCACACCTGGGCAGAGCAGAAACACCCCAGACAACCAGACAGACAGACACCCAGCATACAACCGCACGGAGCTGTAAAGATGCCTGGAGAGGTTCGGCACCACGTCTTCGGGCCAGCCCTTGCCCCTGGCCTGTCACGGCTGCAGCAGAGCTCGTGCGTGAGCGTGGTGCAGCTCTGTGTGGCTCCGCCAAATGACGTGATCTGCCGTGGGGCGTTTTTGTTGGATGGAGAGGAGTATTTGGGCAGAAAGGAGCTCGTTCTTGATATCTGTGGCGAGCAAGAGAGGAAGATGAAGTCATAACCCATTGCAGAAACAATTATCGCAGCAGGCAACAAACACTGCCCATCTGATACGTGCCCCTCAGCCAAGCAACACAAGCACTGGCTGCGAAGATCGCATGTGATGCTCGCAGGTCACACAAATTCAGAATTTCATTTTAGGGGAACTACAGAAGAACAGTCTCTGCATATGGAAGCAGAGCACTCAGGAGGTATACAAGGAATTCAGTAGCTGATAACAAAAGAAAAAAACCCAGGAGAGCTGAGAACAAACTTGCACCACTAAAAAAAAAATCTCTTAACACAGCTCCACCTCACCAAACAATTGACAGAAGCTGAAAAAGCGCCAGCCTCTCACACTGTGTGCTAAGGAGGAAAGGCAGGGTGGTACACCTCTACCGATAGCTGGAACAAGGCATTGCCCCGCAGTGCTGAGGCCCACACGGACTATCACTTCAAGGCAGGATGTTTTTTGTGACAGGAGGTCCTCTGCCTGAATGCCGGCAGTCCTGCTCAGCAAGCCCACCAGCGGCCAGCACTGCAGGTCTCGCTGCAGCTGCAGAACAGAGCGAACGTGACCTGCAGCGAGGCTGGAACAAGCACTGGGGACGTGCGTGGTGCCTCTGTCAAGTTCAAAACCCCAAACCATTTCACATGGTACTACCACGGGTAAAACACAGACTGACTTGTTTGAGACATCATCCCAGCAGTACGAGGAAAAAGTCAGTGTTCTGGATCATTGTCCACGACCAGCGAGTGGCACGGACCTGGAGCACAAATGTCAACACTTCACACAAGCTCAAAACAGGGCCAAAACCCAAACGCAGATGGCATTCTGCAGTGGCCGTCTGCTGATCTCTGGGAAGCATCAGGCCGTAGGGCCAACTGACTTAGATGGCACTTTCAAGTCACGAGGGAAGGCTAGACCACCCCAGCTTCTCTACATGGCACAGTGCTTCTTCTTCCAGCAGGATCTGTACTGCCCAGTTCCGCAGAACAAACACAAAGGTTCAGGTTAGTCCTGAATTTCAGGATGTTTCGTTCCGTCTGATCTTTTGAAAGAACCGACTTTCTCTTTATCCTCCTGCTTCTGTGAGAGCTCTTTTGGTCTCAACTTTGAGCCTCCAGAGCGTTGGATGAAACATCAAAGTCGGTATCAACATCTGCTTCAGTCCTAGCGCACGGTGCACGTGCCAATGTTGATGTCTGATCTCCAGTGCCAAACCCCCGTCTCAGAGACACGGAACTGGGCCTGCTTGGTGAAGTTATATTGACACGATGCTGCACTTGATATGATGCTGACTTGTCAAGACAGTGCTGGAGCTTGCTCCTTCTCCATGCAGCTACAAGGCCCGCTGACATGTTAAGGACATGCTCTACCTTCATTATTCAGGAACGCAGAATAGCGCAGACAGAAGATGGGAGGAAGGACTGAAAGAAGGACTGACAGCAGGACAAAGTAGCTACTCCCAGCCACGCATCTTCCCAGAGACCTTTCCTTCTGCCCACCGCAGAATCAGAGGCGTGGGGCCAGGAGAAGAGTCCCAGCAGCAGGAGCATGGCTGCCCTAGAAATCACTCTTCCTCTGTGGCCGATTACAGCAAGAACCAGTGAAAGTGAAGTCTCCGTCCAGCTGTGTCTAATCCAATTGCTCAAGCACACAATCACATCACTGGGCTGCGGTAATTAATCACTGCCAGCATATTAATGCCACTGAGCCTAGCATGCAGAAAGCTCAGGTAACTGCCGTGCAATTCTCTACTCCAGATAAGAAGGTATTTAGGAGAGTTAGGAGGAATCCCACTTACCTGATTGCTTATTTACCAATATCCTCATTAAAGGAAGCACTAAACGAGTGGCCTTTCTCTAAGGAAGCAAACTCAGACTCGGCTAAAAAGGGCCAGCGCAACTTTCCAGAACAGAGCTATTGTCTCTGCAAAGATCTC